CGGCCAGTTACGGACGTGTGTGGACCTAGCCACCCTGCATCTCACCAACTCATCATTTAGGATTATAGTCTACTGATAAGGGTTTGGTGGTACAGGTAGGGTTTGGGAGAGACCGAGAACATTAAACCAGCCCTTTTTGGCCTGTAGAGGGGTCCCTAAACCATTAAAACAATAAGCCAATCCATTTTGGGGGCGGTTGGAGTCTTCAAATTATGAACGTATTTTGTGCCCCGGATGTGTCGAATGTCTCTATTTATGACTGGTTATAACCAGGACGGGCACAAACGACCTAAACGAGCAAGCCATTAAGCCAATCCATTTGGCCTATGGGGGAAAAGGAACGGCTTGATGGTTTCGTGGTTTGGTTTAGGTCGTAAGGGGACAAAGGATTGCTACAATTGCTTAATGGTTTGGGCTTAGGCCTTATGGGTTTCATGGTTTACTGGTTTAATGGGTTGGGCTTAGGTCCTCTGGGGAAAAAACGATTGGCTTAGTGGTGGGTTTAGGCCTTATGGGGGCAAATTGGCTTGACGGCCCAGTCTAATGGTTTAGCGGCGGGAGTGCTAAAAATGCTGGGGGGGGGGGGGGGGGGGGNNGGGGGGATATAAGACTAGCGATACGGCAACCCTCCCTATTGACCTACATTCCCTTCTTGATCCTCTGTAGGACCAAGGGGCAAGGGGCAGAGGAAGCAAAACAGTCAACAAAACACACTTAGCAAAGCAAGAACACAGAAAAAACTAAACAAAAGCACAAAACCAAAAAGCATAAAGTTAAAAACTGCAAAACTAAATCCAAAACAAAACAAAACAACGATCTGCAGAATTGAATAGGATTGAATAGCTTTGTTGTGTGCTTGATTCTTGCTTTTTCTGCTTTTTAAGACTAACCCAAGAAAAGCACAGACAAATTAAATGAACACCGAAAAACACCAAAACAAAGCTGCAAAAAAAAGATAACAAAAAACCAACCAATCAAAAAACTATCCGTAGAATACGAATTAATATGTGTTTTTGCTGTGTGTGTGGTTTTTTTTGGGTTTTGGTTGTCTAACTTATTGGTTGTGTTTGTTCTGGTATCTATTCATAGCTACATTTTTCGGTTGGTTCGTATGGTATTGTATTGGCTATTTGTCGTGGAAATTGTAACTGCCTCTGTGCTAGGCTCCATCACATGTGCTTCCTCTTCTTCTAAATCACATATGTACTGTAACATTGTACGTGTATACGAACACCTATATCCATGTCCTCTTCCTTCATACCCTCCTGGTCAGGTGCCTCGATCGCGATGGGAGGCAAATGTTTTGGTATTGTAAAGTCTGTTAGCACAACAAATCTTAAAGAATCCACGTGCAAAATGCTCATGAAGCCGAGGCATGCTCACGTCTTAAATTTGTGTTCAGGTGGCAAGAAGCGAATGCTCATGATGCTTAGTGACTTACTGATGCTGCGCATGTCTGCATTCGGTCCACTGCCTTGTTACTTCAACCTGACATCTAACTTTCGACATGGCACAAATCGCACTAGCGTGAATGCCTCAAAGTTTGCAATCCATTGGACCATCCATCACTCAGTATCGTGTCTATCTTCCAGCGCAACGGCGGCCGAAGACAGCATTCTCGATGGATTGAAGCAAGCCGTCACGCTGTTGATTTGCAGGGCTTTGTCCTAACCTGTGAGCTTGAATCTCCCTGTGAGGATCTACACGCCTGCGACCCTACCATTGCAGGACGTCAGCAATGGTGACAATCCAACAGTCAGTCTCGTCGACGTCATTGCAGACCACACCGATGAGAAAGACTTCGAGGCGCTTGAGTGACCTTTCCTTGAGGCCAACAAGACGAGTAACATGGAACCACTCATATCACCATTCGAACACAAAGCGGAACTCCCGTGCGATACCAAAGTGGAAATCGTCGTTTTCATCTATCCCGCAGGCCCCGCAAGCACTACATCGTCAAGCACATTATCTGCAACGGCAAGAGCAAGCCCATCTGGTTTGAGAGAGGGGTCTATGGGCAAGCCCAAATCTATCGCTGGCGCACTACCGATGTCAAAAACGGTAAGAAGATTATCCAGTATGTCCTGGAAAACTTAAACTTAGGAGGCACGCAACTCAAGATCTTTGACCTAGTCTCCTACACGGCCCCGAAAACCGGCAAGGACGAGGCCGAAATCGATCGGGGCTTTCAGTTCATTCAAAATGAGGGGCCGCGTCCTGCGACTGAGATGGCGCAGCTCCGCTGGATGACAAAAAAGGCCTCAGTCGCGCAGGCTCTTTGGTTGAATGGTGCACTCGCCAAGAAGGAGTTCGATTGGCCAACTCCTTTGACTGACAAGTATTATCATAAGTGGCTTCTCAACATCTTGGAGAAAACTTGGAACTTCGACCAGAGCGCCTTCTTTATTCTCGGCGAGGCCGGTGCCAGCAAGTCACCTCTCGGTCGCAGTGTTCCCATGGCCCAGGTGCGCAGCAATCAGACGCGGCTCAATTCTCGAGGCACCCCGCACAATCCCGAGCATCCAGTGTACCGCTGAGGTTGATTTCTTGCGAGGGGAGCCCGGTGCCGTCATCATGAGACTTCCTCGATGATACTACCTTGAGCGATCTAACTTCTGGACATGAAGGTATGGCGTGGGCTTGGTGGTGGGGGGGGGACGAAGTGTGTTCAAAGTGAGCCTAGGGCAGCCGGGCAGCAGCTGAAAATGTACGATGGGGATGAGCTCCCTAAGGACTGCGACTTTCTTCCCTCCATTCCCGTTGGCAAGATTTGGAAGTCAATGAAATCCGCATGAAACCGCATTTACTTCCGAAGCTGCACGTGCACACGCCGACGCCATCTTGAAGCGCACCGCCGACCTGCTCAACTCGAAGACTCACGCATATTGGCGCCCCGCCGGCGTCAACCCAGATTCTGTTCAAAGATGACAGCTTGCAGACGCAGAGCGCTTGACGGAAGGCGGCAAGGAGCTCGACGACAAGTACTTGGATCAGGGAGCTCTCCGCAGACGGAGTGGGTCACTCGCATCATTGTTCGACGCATTCGGGAACCCAAACCTGACTTCAAGAAGCGTCAACAAGTTCGCCAGGCACTTTGCGTTCGTGAGCACGAAAGTTACTCCGAGGTGCAAGTCAAGCGAGAACTTCCGGATTCAGAGGCTGCGGTGTTGAAAAAGGGCCGAAACATGGGCCCATGAGCTTCGCAGGACAACCAACGGCTTGATCGACTTGGACTCGCCCGAGCGCCCAACCGCATCCTTCTCTCGCATTCCAGTCAATGTCTCACGCGTTCGCCTCGTACCAGACACAGAAACCGCCGCGCCAGCAGCTTTTTCTTCAATGGGACCGCCCACTGCTGTCATGCCTGAGCTTGAAAACTTTATGGATCCAGAAGACGATGCCGCTCTCGATGCTGTTGCGACGCAGAAGAAGATGTTGTCGAAGAAAAGGACCATATGGACATTTCTTCGAGGTTGAGTACGTAGTATATGCTGTTGACGTGTCTTATACGTGTAGATGTTCCGCATGTTTCGTCCATGTCTAGAGAATCAAGAAGATAGAACCATGCACATATGAACTGCTCAGATTGAGTAACATCGTGTGTTAAGCAAGGGCCCCTAATGCCAGGAGGGAAGCGACACGAAGAAGGGTCGACTGCACTCTCGTGACGTCCGCTCGCAACGCGGCAAAAAACAGGAAGTGGAGACATGCTCGAGTTGTCAAGCTCTGCTCGTGGCGCTTACCATACAATGTTCTCAACCTGTGCCTGAACCATGTCTCTCTCCTCTAGACATCAGGTCGCACGTACACTGGTTCAGATCTTGGTCCAAGAACCTTATTCCAGTCATTCACTATGAAGAAGACCCGTTCGTCGTGTTCATCTACAGGATTACAGATCATCGACAGATGTTGGCGACACCTTCGCGAGCATCTTTGTTACATGCCGCGCAAGGCGGGTAACTCCATTCTCACTCGCGAGATTCGCTCCGCCCACTGGCTATACTCGAATCGCAGCCAGAATCTCTGGACCAACACAGGCAAGATCTTGAAGCAGCTCCTTGCAAAGTGAGGAAACTTCTAGCTTAGATTCAACGCACATCATTCGCATTCGCATTCGCATTCGCAGCTGGTTGCTTCGCGTGTTGCGCACTGCCTCATCATGCTCTGATGCAAGCCTCACATCATTGATAACATAATAGCGTGTGATGTTGTAGCTTGAAACGCACATGGTACGCGCATGCTACGTCCGCAGTTGTCTTGGCAATTCTCTATCACGTTCTCGCCTCCCTGTGCCATGTCGTGGCTGCGCCTTTCACAAGAGATCCGCGCGAGGATTATCTCAAGTTTTGGGGGCAAACCAACAGACGGGAGTATGCCAGCTGCACCCGTAGACCAGCCAATCCTAATCAGGGTCATGCCACCGAACGGTGTCTTGGAAATATTAATTTAACTGTTTCTTCCTTCGCGTAGCTACGCATCAGCCACTGGTCACTAGTCGCTGCTCTTTTTCGGCGCTCGGTTTCTCCTAAACGAGACATTCTCAGGCGCCAGACCTGGGTGCTATCTAAGGCTCTCGCCTACAAAGTGAGCGCTCGAGGGGAAGAGTTGCTAAACGAAGATGAATACTACTTATATCGACCTCCGCGAAAGTTGAGCCAATGGTAGAACAAGAAATCCTCCGATTTTCCTACGTCGCCGTTTCGTGCTTTTCCGCTAGCAGCTGCCGCTAGCAGCCTCCAGACTTGTCCCAGCCGGAAGCAAAGAGCAGATTCAGGTCAATTCGGGTGTTGGGCAGGGCAGGGCACACAAAATACACATGCACACATAAAGACTTACGTACATACATACATATACAGATGCATACATACAGACATACAGACACACAGACATGCTTACAGACAGACATGCACACGTAAATACAAACATGCAACCTTTGTCATGTTTTACTTTGCCTTATCTTACCTTGCCCTGCCTTGCTTACCTCAGCTTGCCTTGCCTTGCCTTGCCTTGCCTTGCCTTGCCTCGCCCTGCCCCACCTCACCTCACCTAACACCGCACTAGACCACACTACATCACAACACACTACACTGTACTATGCTACATTACATTCCGGTTCGTTCCATTGCATTGCAGTGCTTTGTAATCACGCATACAGAAATGTTCCAAGAAATGTGCAACAGCTTATTGATGTATGAAACCACATGTACTGGCACATGTTTATATGCTTTAATTTGCTTCTCTACTGTGAACTGATTCATAGGTATGTTTATGTACTCCGATATGCATTGCTCACCCCGTCACCACCCGGCAAACTGCGAAGGGCAACCGCATACGATGCAAACTCATCCGACATCGCAAAGACATATTTGACATAGATGTAGAAAAAAAGAAACATTGGTACAGAATTACACTGACTTGATGTGGAAGCACATATGGACATGCATATCATCATTAATATATAATATACATGCTCATGCACATGCACGTGTTACATGTCAATGTACACATACATACAGGCCTACGTGCAGACGTTAGTACACACACACACATGCGTGCGTATATGCGTGCGTGCATACAAAAGTGCATAAGTACGTACATGTTTCGTGTGAATGTCACATGCTGGCTTTCCACGACGCGCAAGCCGCAGATCCCTGCTGCGATTTCAACTTCAAGCCTCTATACACGTTTCAGACTCACCGCAAACGCGAACTAAAACCGGCCTCGCTCCTGTGCAGAAGCGCTTCGCCATCCAGAATCTGCAAAATCCCTAGGATTCCGCAAGTTGTCAGCTCGACTACGAAATACTGCAAAACCGAAATCACTTGCAGGAAAATAACATGCGCAGTATCAATTTTGGGGATTCAGTCTCGGACCTGACCATGAACCCTGCTTTGTTCGTTTCCCGCACCGAGCCCGCAAATTTGAACCCCCGCCAATCCAGCTTGGCTGAGAAACGTTCCTAGACCACTCAGGGCCCATGACCAGACCTCCCCACCTCTGCACAGATCAGAAACCTGGATTTCAGTCGGAGATTGAAACGCTTACAGTAGATGTTTAAAGGTTGCTTCAGATCACGGAAAACTATCTGCAACCTTCAAGAAACTCAAGCTTTCAGCGAGGAGCAGTCTCCTTCCTTTCCAAAGTCAATCCGTTTGTCTACAACGAAATGCTGTAGCTTAATTTGCAGAAGCGGCATATGATGGAGCGCCACCTTCGGCAATAAGTGGCTCTACTTGCGTGCCGCCTCATGGCGAATAGCAAAAACGATGCACCCTTAACGCATCAATGTCAATCTAAATAAACCAACAGACACGCGACTTTAGAACGCGATCCATCTACGGCGGTATATATGTATATTGTAGGCCCTATGCGTACGATATGTTGCAGCAAGGATTGCTGTGCACTGTCTACGGGTCGTCACTGGGTCATGGGGAGGAAACAGATTCGGTCTGGAGCAGTAGACTCAAAACTACCACAACGTGGGGCCCCCGTCCACTGAGAACCTTTTGGGTTTTGTTGAGTCCCGCCGCGCCTGAGGCTACAGATTTGCCACCTCAACCGTCTTCCAGAGGTCGGGTTTGGATATGCAGGCCCCCCGCAGGCTGCCTTTTCTCAAAACTTGATTCCTCTCATTTTAAGGGCAACCCAGGTCAGTCCGGCTTATAAACAGAAATGGCAAGCTTGCCCGAAATTGGCGAACTGTGAATGTCCGTCAGAGACGAATCCAGCACAATCCGGTGCAACCGTTGCAAGTCGAAGTGGCAGGGACTCTTGCATTTGCGACAGGTACAACCGAGTACAACCAGTGAAGGCTGTACCGAAACTCTAGACTCCTAGATTCCAGCGAAGACCCTCTGGCACCTCTAGCAACCTGAGAATCTTGGATCTTGGGAACATCCGACGCGACTTGCACGGATCGAAGCAGCAAGGCAAGCAGACTTAGCCTCACTTCATAAGGGACGGACGAGTGTGGTGTGTAGTGTAGCGGTTGTACTTGGTTCTTTGGGGCGGTATGGGGTTAGGACGTGAGATGAGAAAACTGGGAACAAGACTTGTCGACAGTGTGGCCAACTTACCTGATCTTGCCCGTACTTATGGCAATACGTGCCGCTGTTTGATCATCAGGATAAAATATCTACATATCACACACAGGATCCATCAGTATGCGTAGATTTTGCGGTTTCTGCAGTAGGACCTAGCAGTACGGGCTCGCAACGATGCAAAAGTGCTAGGAAAGGCTAACCTCTCCTGCAGTCTGGCAACATGTACGTGCACATGCTCAAGATGATTCAAGATGTGCAACATGACACAAGGCCGCAAAGCTTCAGGCGGCTAGAAAGTCTTCCGTGCAGCTGTGCTGCAATTTTTTCTTGCACTGCCTGCAGGACATCATCCCGCAGGCCACCAATAACCTCTGCCCGGCGCCGGAGCCCGTCGCACTCTACCTGCTCCGCCGAGTGTGGCCGGAAGTTGTTGCTTGTGACACGTGATGTCGCTTCAGAAATCTTGTTGTATGCAGCTGAAAGAAGAGCACATCGCCAAAACACACGTTGCCTGTAGCCGCGCGAGCTGAACCTCCACATGTCCGCCGAACAAACTTGGACAACCGAATAATTCAAAGTTGGGGGCACCCGGGAGCCCGGGGAGTGTAGGGCAAACACTCAGTTCGCCAGTCCACGCATGCAAGACCTGTCTCGGCGGCACTCCATCACAACTAGCATTCCCGGCCCACGGTGGCTGCAATACCCTGCGATGCGCTGACTTGCACAAACTCATCTCGCTTCACTCCGGGCTGACTTGTCAATTTGTTGCACCGGCGCTTTCTTGGCACATCAAAACAAGGCACACACAACTCTGCAGAAAGTTAAACGTCACAGAATTCCACAAGGCCTCCGTGGCCGTTTGCTGTTCACTGCAGCGGTGGTCCAGTGACAGAAGCGCACCTCGCAGGTACGCTGGTGGTCGGGCTGAGAAGGCCTAAACACAACGCTTTCAGAGCATAGCAGAGAAGGCACCTTCAAGTTGACCGAACCAGGACGGGCTGTCTCGGTCCATGGGAGGGCCTGCCATGGCCTGAAAGGAACTGAACGAAGGCCCCTTGCCGGTAGCTTTGTGAACGCTGCTTGGTCAAAGTTGCTGCTCTCGCCTCCACTGTCTCCTCTAGACGTCGCAGGCACCGCCTAAGGAAGCGTCTAGGAGCGAACACGGGTGAGAAGGTGAAAAAGTAGAGGGAAGAAAGGTATTGAGTGGCCTACTCTTTGTGGGAAGAGAAAAGGAACGAGCAGGGCCAAAAACGTCGATCCAAGCATGCGCTTTCTAAGAAGGAGAGCGAGAAAGAGGCCCCAACTCCTGAGCCAGAGCTGCTCGCTCGACCTGCAGGGCAGAACTGCGCAAGCGCATTTGCGCGCAGTGGCGTTAGCGCAATGTTCTTGCAACTAGTAACTAGCAGATGCAATAATGTACGGAATCATAGCATCCGTGCGTCGCAGTGGCACATGGTGGCACCTTCTCCACCCGCAGTACGTTCTGATGTGAAGACAAGGCCAACTCCTCTCACAAGTCCGCATCTCTGAGTTTTCGACTTTGGCCTGTGGTCCTCCAGTTGCCGCAAGCTCTCGTGCTGCTCCGAACGCAGCTCTGCTAACTCGGAGCGATAGTTGGCCTGCACCTGTGTTTCGAACGGAGGCAGACATCGCTGAATATCGCCGAACCGTCGGGGCTCTTCGGCCCCGGCGCCCCGGCGCCCCGGCGCCCGGAGCCCGGCCGGCCTCACTGAGGGCTGCCCCGATGAGGCCGCGCGCCTGCGGTGGGGAAGTGCTCGGATGAGTGAAGTCCCTCAGCCGTCTTTCGCCTCTCGCAGCGATGCCGAATCACGGCCACCCTGGCCACCCTCCTGGGTTCTGTCGGATTGTCACTGTGATACGAGCCCGATTTTCGCCCTGTCCTCGGAGAGCTTGGCCTCCATCGAGCTAAGCCGGGCTTCCTCGGTGTTTCTGCTTTGCGAGAGTGGTTGAAAGCGACTTTAGGTGTCGCACCAAGCGCGCATCGATCTTGTCCATGTACTGCTCGAGTTCCTGCTCGGAATAGGAATGTCATTGGCCGATCGCCCAGTTTGTTGCACCCTACTCCTCTTTGTCTTCGTCACACCGTCGCTGCAGCGAAGCCACAAGAAGAGAAACACTCTCAGCCAATTGGGCGATCTGCAGGCAGAAAAGGATGCAGATGCCATAGTTTGACATGAGCTAGGGTCAGCATCAGAACAGACATGGATGTTGGCGATATCGTTTAAGTTTCTGCATCTCCGCTATCGTTTTGCAGATTCAAACCCTTCATGATTTCAAAATGATCTCGACAGACGGAACGACCACAGCGAGGTCTCGATGGCCTGCGAGCTTCGGGAGCATATTTCTCTAAAATGAACATGACAAATTTCATGGCACTACTTTGAAACGGCCGGTACCGGATGATCTGTCCCACCAACCGCAGCTCGATAAAAGGATCTCGGGGCTGGGTGGCCCGAGAATCCTTGCTCTATACGCTGATCTCGCGGTGAAGCTATCGCTGAACGCAACTCCGAGTTCGTCTGAGGCAACGAAACGACCATTGACAGAGCCGAAAAAGCCAGGTGATGCCCAGCTTGAAGGCTGGTGTTTCACAGCCCATACTATCAGGATGGCTTCCGTGCTTTGGAAGCTAAATACTTACATTCGTATGCAACTTGCATTGCCAAACGAATTCTCGGGTTATCGTTCTCTGCGCACTCGAAACGCAAAGATCTCATGTTCACTCTGCACCAAAACTCCTATCCCAGACCTTGCAGTTCCTGGCATCACCATGCAGGCTCCGGGCTCCATCTTCTGGATGTTCGTCGCGTTTCCGATCACAGCATTTTTTTCAAGCTGGTACGTACTTCTTCGCACGAAATGACATACGAAAATGACGTATCTAACGGAATCTACGGACACGACTTTAGTTGGGACTTAGAGCACAATCGTTCCGTCTCCGGTTTGGATCATGCTGCGGCTACCTCCTCCTTCTCCTTCTCCTTTCTGTCATAGTTCAGGATTATGCCTTCGCATGAGTTGAAGACCACTCTGAGACCATTCCAGGAACGGCCAACAGGCGACTCCTCGTGCTTCCAAGGCCGACTTGCCAGCCCCATTCCGGAGGTTGTATATCAACAACATGCAAAAGCGAGAGCCGCAGGGCCTTTCCGGGACTCATGACTGAGGCCAGAGCACCACGGTGCGAGGTGTCACGAATTCGGAGGAGCCATAACACCGAAAAACGCCACATCGTGCCACGCCGGGAATCGTGGTGCACGATGGTGTACGGCACAGGGCCCGACAAGTGCACAGAAAGCACTGGTGGTGGGGACAAGCCCGTCAAGCAGAAAAGATCAAGGCCGCCAGGCCCACCAATTTTGGAACGCGAAAGAGCGACTCTGCAAACTGCCCTAGTTGTGACGTGCACGTTGCATAGCACGCCAGTACGAAGCGGGTCTGCTCCGTGGTGATAGCAGCAACCATGCCAGCAGTGTGACAGGAACCACCGCAGCAAAGAGCCGAAATTGAAACCACGACAGCAGGCACGGCGAAGGAACCCTATCGTGCAGCGCAAATACCTAGTTGTCGCGATGACACGTATTTCTGCAGCCACCATTTCTGCGAAGAATAGGCCAATCGACATCGAATGATGAACACTGTTTGAATGATGAGTCCAGCCGATTGCATGGCATCTCTTGGCACGGGCATGTAAGCGGCAACCAGGCTAGGATGACGGATGCTTTTCTGATCCTCACTGGTGCTTTCACGAACGGTGACCCAGGCTAGTCGAAGAGGCACTAGTCTACGCAGAGTTGCAGGTCAAGTGAATGAGGCTCCTAGGCAAGGGATCGAGAAAACGAGTGTGTTACAAGGCACACTGACACTGCTTTGAACATAGCGAGGGGCCCGCTGTCCTTCGACCCGTACTCGCATACTACGAAGGCCACCCAATCAAATTCAGTCTTTCAGGTTGCAAGAAAAGGGGTCAAAGAACATCCAGACTGCCTGGGCTCCATAAGGGTTTGAAGGGAAGCCGTGTCGGGCGCCATCAATATTCTGCGAAGGTGCTTGTCGCGAAAACCTTTAATTTGATTACTTGCATGGCGGTGCAATTCCAACCTGAAGTTGTCTGCACTCAACTCTCACAACTTCACATAAAGACGTAATTACACGTTATCGAAGCCAGCAACAACCTCTACACAAAAACACAAGGAAAAAAAAAAAAAACAGGGTTCAGTATGGTGTAGTTCCGCAACCGCATTTCCGCAGCTGCTGGACAGACTGTGCAGTGCACTAATCTTTGCCGCGCTTGGGCCTTTGCCTCCGCTGTGCCAGCCAAGGGGATGTGCGCCAGAGCAGAAGCCTCAAGGAAGCATGGACAAGTGTTTGGACATGCTGTAACTGAAGCTGCCGCATTCCTGCGTGGAAAAGCCGCAAGCAAAAACAAACTGCAAGCAAGATTTTGTTGAATCTCCCACCCGCACCTTTGTGAGGGCAGTTGAAGACGGAGTGTCTGTTTGGCTACAGCTGCGAACGAGGTCGGTGGCGCAGCCAGGCCAATATCAACAACCGCACACTCCCATACTCTCCCCACACATTTTGCCGCGCTGTGCCCACCAACTTATGAAGTTGCTCCGGCAGAGCCTCATGCAGCACAGCACTTCGGCCTGTACATCAATGCAAGTCTGCCAGGATCGATTCTCACAGCCCTCATGAAGATCCAGTCGAAGGGAAGACACTCTGCTCGTGCTGCGGCCTTTATTGCACATCCAGTTGCTCAAGCTTGACATCATGACGGCCCTCAGCTGCGAGCCATCCGCTGATCTCGTTGTCCCTGATGTTTATCCTCATAATGTTTATGTTCGGACTGCTAGATCTCATATCTGATAGCTGCTACAAGTTCCGGTGCGATTGTAAGCCTCTGACGGGCTTGCACAATCCACACCTCAAGGCCAAGCCGCCAACAGTATGCATGCATGCTTCACTGAACCTCATCGCAAGTAAAGAACAACGACAGTTCACAAGAGACACAGGATGCAGGGTTCTCACAAGTGATCTCCAGCATTGGCATTCCCCCAAAAACCAGTGTCACAGATGATGGCCACGGGCCGGAACAGCAGTCATGACATTCAGTGCCCGGATTTCACGAAAGCGTTTCGCAAGATGTCAGAGTTCAGGACATTCTGAGGTGCTTTGATGCGAACACAACGACTCTGCACCCAAGCTTTGTGCAGGAGAACCATGCCCTCGTCTGCATGTCCATAAATCTCCGGCTTTGTTCGCCAAGGACCAGGTTTTCGCATCATGGGGTGTTGACCTACTAGTATGCTCACCAGCTTTCTTGAGACCGAGATGTCGCAGGACGACTGGGTCCTCCAATCCTGGAACTTGCCAGCTGGACGTGACTCACGTGCCTGGGCGGCCTTCGCAGGCCTTTCTCTACACATCTCTAAAGAGTTTGAGTGAAACTCGCATGTTCTGTAGTAGTCGCCTCAAGTCCGATTTATCCGATTGACTCACTTCAGTGCCTCAGTTCAGAGATTTTTTGTTGTGGACCTGCTCCAAATTTCAAAAACTGAGAAGGCGCATGGAGGGTACGGCTGTAGCATGGTGTCCCTGGAACAAATGCCCGGGCTGGGGGAGACCGGCGAAGGTTGTTCCGAACAACACACGGTTGATGTTTTATGAGGGTTACCCTGGCACACTCTGAATCAAACCGTGGTTCGGCAAAAATGCTTCATGCCTCGACTCGGGCGAAAGGGATTCAGTTTGATTTCTGCTTGCATGACGTTGCATTAAGCAGATCAATGCAGTGCAGGTCAACGCAATTTACTCACCCGAGTTCCAGGCGGTCGAACAGGCTGCGAGAGCTCTTGCTCGGGAAAACTTGCAGGTCTGCCTGCCGGCTGCCAGGCCCGTCCCGGTCCCAACGTGCTCAAGGATACGATTCATGTAGGACAACTTTAGTTTAGTTACAATATCCTGTGGCCCGCCCGCTAGATAAAGCTCCAACATAAACATAGAAACGATGACGTGGTGGACGCAACTCTTCAATCTGTGATCGTGCACCAGTGCTTGCTCCCTTCAGGCTTTTGCAGCCTTCCCGGCAGAAGCGACTAGAGACGGTCCAAGCCATACCGATCTGGCGCGCCTGCGCGAGCTCGAAGTCGTCCATCTGCTGCTCATATACGTTCATCCAGTTGGTCCGCCTCGTGGGCTTGAACAGCCACGTGTAGCTCCTCAGTTTGCCCGGATGGTGCATGCTCCCGAAGTTACAAGTATAGCCAGGATAGCCAGTGTGCAAGAAAAGGGCGAAAACCAGGTATACGATACAGCAAGTGCTTTCAAATTTTATCGGCATGGAATGGCACAGAATACCACAGATGCCAGCTGTAGAGTTATCCGTTTTGGAAGGGCGGTCTTCGACCCCAGACTCAGATGTGCCCTGGTGCCCACAAAGCACACACGTCTTCCTAAATGCCATCCGGAGCGGCAGCAAGCCGCCCCAGCCAACAGCAAGCACGACAAGCAAATAGTTCTCCACCTCATCGATCCAAGTCTTGGCTAGGGTGTACCTCGCCAGGGCAAACCGCGGGCGACACAAGACACCCAATGAAAGCAAAAAAATGCCCGGCCTGTAAACGACCAAGCACTCAAGTATGCAGAATGCTACGGTGATGATCTGGCCCATCAGGAAGTCGTCCTGGGCGGGCGTTAGTTGTCCCCACTCTGTGCCAGTTGGCAGCGATGCAGGCCAGGATACGGTGAATGTGGAGTACGGAACGCTTGGCAAATGATCCATGATGCCTGCCAATCCGTTAGCTAAGCAGGCGATAGCAGACGCATCCAATGTGTCGGCTGTGTAGGACTGGCTGCATTCTCCAATGTGGGAAGCCCGCGGATCTGGCTTGTTTTAGGGCTACACCTCGCAAAAGGTGTGCAAAACGGTCGCGGCTTTCAAGAGCTCCGAATTTGTGAAAACCAAGTTCCGTTGGTTGATGGTATACTCCAGGTTGATTGGATGTCGTCATGAAGAGGAAGTATACCGTGCGGACAGGGCTATGGATCGAATGGGAAAGCGAAAACCCTTTCTAGCGCAAAGCCTCAACATGCTGGCTTCTTGCCGAAGGTATCTTTGAGCTATACACAGAACTGGCTCTGCGATCTACCTGCTAAATGTACAAGGCTGCAGGGAAAGCTGAGCTTGCATGGAAAGGTCTTATGAACGTTGCTGTGCTTGTTATGCCAAAGCTTCGGCCACGGCATGGATGCTTGAAGACAGGACCAGAATCCACACTTCATTAGAATTCTAGACGCTGGGGATCACACGAGCCTGGAAGTCCTTGTTCTTTGTCACCCGAAGAGCTGAAGCTAGGCCAAGACAATTCGAAAGGTGAGAAAAGTTTCCCCTTGAACTCCTTGAACTCGTCTTTACCGATTTTACCGTTTGGCTCCAATGTTACAAGCATCGGCAGGAGCCAATCACCACTGAGAGTGTAAATCTTCATTCCCAGGACACTCTTCGTGCTGTCGAAAGCACCATATTTGAAGGCGACCAGAGTCAGTAATCCTCTCGGGCACAGCTATGCATGCCCCTGCTTGATGACTAGCTTCTGGCTCCAACATGTTGCACAAAGCGTGCCGCTTTAGAGCTAGCAAGCCCTGCTCCTCCACCATACACGGAGAGGCGGTCGCCCATGTGGTCCTCCGAGACAAGCCACGTCAAAAGATCAAACTAACATTTCGCTCCGTCTCCTCTGTCGGGGGCATCGCCAATGGAGAGCAAGAGCTCAAGGTGATCCTCATCTCGTCTCGATGCCCGTGCTGCAGGCATGATGAGATCAAGACACTGGTTCTGGCAAGACCTGTGAGGTCAGTGGAGCAACTGCCGCAATGCAGGCCCAGCGGCAGTGTGGAGATTACTAAGATTTGCCGAACCTTGACTGTGCGGCTGAACGGTTTGGTTCCTTTCTCGCGACTCTTCTTCATGTGACCTCGTATTGTCACTGTGGTTGGACAGGGTCGGCTTTCGACTGGCCAGCTGGAGATGCTTGATTGAGAGAAATGCTGAGATGCAGCTTCGATGCATAGAAGCCGTGCTTGCGCTCAATGCGCAGGCGAATTTGAAACTTTGTCGCGAAGGGCAGATTGGCACCTGAAACAAGAAACTGCTCAGCTCCCCGCTCATACCTTTTGGAGTTCTTAACCCTTGTGCCAACATATCGAGGCGGCCTTTGCTGTCGGGAGGTGCGAGCTTGTCCCCGGTTGTCACAGGCTTGTCTGGATCATCGCAAGACTGCACAGTGGCAGGAAGAGGGGACCACTCCTCGTAGGACACCACTAAAGACTATACTCGAAAAACTGCTGGTCGTATCGTGAAGTTCCCAGTAAGCATGCCGGCCAAGGGTCTGCCAAGACAGATGATGTCTCAACGTCCAGCCTGGTATTCGGCTTCAAAATGCGCGCAGTGCAGTGTCGGTCGGACTGCTTGGGTGAGCCTGGCAATGTGCATGTTGCTTGGATGTGGTGTCAACATATGCACTGTCCGAGCACGCGAGAATCAAGGTGCAGTCACGAGGCCACGCGACCTTCCTTATCTCAGCGATGCTGAGCCGGTCATCGTGCGCGATAGCAAAAGTTATTGTGAAATCAGACCGCAGCTTGCCGACATGCAACATCGAATCGTAGAAGGTGTCGTCATCACGGTGGACCCGCCACACAAAGTCTATTTGCTGCCTTATTCGACAGCCGATGTCTTAGTCCAAGCAGCAGAGTTTCCACGACAATCATGATCTGGGAAGACTGAGATGTAGGCAAGCAGATGACATGTCTGTCGAATGGAAAATCGCTGACCGGGTACTTCTTGAACCCAGTCCTTAGCGTGGCTACGCACAAGGCGCAATGCGCCAACCGCTGTCACTCTGCACTCTTCATATCTGACGGGAGCCTCACATAATCAGGGCAACGACTCGAACTTAATGCCCAGTCAAAACACATCCAGAAAATGGAGCTGCCACGCCAGAAGATGGTTCTATTCCTTGGATCGTGGCTTCTGACGGCGTGCAAAGCTCCGCACAAACCCTTAAGAAACAAAGCCTGGCAGGAAAATGCCTCATGCACTGAGCCAAAGCGTCTATGGACACATAATGAAGCCCAAGAATCTTGCTGCTACTTTCCGTGTCGTTCAAGTCTTTCCAAACTCGGGACTCCTGAACCTCCGTCTGGAGACCTGGAAGATGGGGCATGATGGGGCAGCCCTGGCTCCAGCAGATTCCAGCTTCCAGCCTGGGACTCGGATGCCCGGAACGCCTCGATAGCTAATCTCCGTGTCCTTGGTTCTATCTGCCTTCTGCCTTCGTACCGAAATCCTCTCGGGTCAAGTGGCGCTCTTTAAACTGGCGGTCCGGAAGGCCCACTGGCAGAGCATGCGAACCTCGCCGACTGATGACTGTGGGTACTTTGGAAATGGGCTGCAACGAAGTGCAAATGCCTGTGTTGCTAGAAACTTTCATAAACTTTCGCTACGCCCTATGACACTTGCTGCTCAAGGTGCCTGGAATTTGCCAGTCTTTACATCCACGTGGGTCACACCTCCGGCAGGATACTCGCCCAAGAAGTTCCCGCATCATCCCAACTTTGCCCGGATTCCGTGTATCTAGGGCGTAGAGTGCGTGTGTGACGCTTCCAACAAGATGCGCTGTCTCTTCAAATCCCCGGTTTCTTTCGGCTGGCAGTGGGCTCGAACATCCCCAAATCATCACGTAATGTGCCGAGTCAATGAGGCCCCCTTACTGAGGCAAGCTGCTGACCCGGGCTTTGCAAAACACTCGGTCGCGGGTTCGTGCAACCTTGGTGCAGACGTAAAGTCGGGTAGGAGGCCTCACAGAGCTCAGCACAGTGCAGATCATTGCCTCCGGCTCAGGACTGTTGGAGCCTCTGGCCCTTGGCAACGGGGCTCGCCAGCTCCGAGCATTCAGCGCTGCAGCCAGTGCAGACCAGTCTCCCGTGCCAGCAGCGCTGGTTTTCCATGCCTTGAGTGCAGAGACAAAGGATCACACATGCCCGCTGTCAGGGGACACTCATGGCCGCCTTGATCCAGCCATGACTCCCGAGAGTCTGTGTCTTGTAAGAGCGGGCATATGCTCCCGGACGCCTCCTGCTCCTCGGGTTGCAGGAAGTTTCATACATGAACATTGTCTCGACGGCCACCACAGCCATCAGAGACAGTGGCTGGAGTGCCAAACAAGATTCGACGAGTTCGGGCGCCACATCCATGAGACATGCGGGTGCTAGCAGCAGGGCACCATCAGGCTTTGAACTAACGCAAGGCACCCAGAAGCACCATCTCGGTAAGGAGTGTAAGCTGAGCTCGCTGTCAGGAAGTGCTTAACAAAACCCAGCTTCTGGCTGTGGGATTGTATGATTGGAGATATGATGTTCCGCGGTTATTCCGTCACTACCCTTGTGATGGATGAGCTAGCATGACGATCATGACGGGCGCTTTTACATAGTCTACAATGAGGGCTTGAGCACCCAAGCTCGGACGTCGTTTCCTGACCAGCAGCCAGCAAGGTATCAAAGAGAGACCTAGGTAAGTCTCTGACCGGAGGCACTACTCGCATCCCCACAGCTGGCGACCGCCTTTATGTAGCAGGGGTGCAATCAAGCAAACATTGTTCAAGACACGAAGAACCGACACGGCCTGGGGGTTGAATTCCGCTAAGCCATCACTCCCTTCGGAACGTGAAACGTCCGATCAGTATCGAAAAGGGTGCGACGGTTGTGTTAAGCAGGATCTGTGTGCCCTGTTCAAGCCTGGCCAGTTGAAAGGTTATGCGCTCGAACGAAGGTTTTTGAAGGCTCGACATGGAAAGAACATTGTGCTACAAATCCGAGCAGCCTTCTCATTCTGCCAGGCATCATGCTCGAACAGGATCATGCAAACGGCGACTACGGAAACTGCTTCTCCATATAATGTCCGACCATGCAACGGGAGCTTCCTGGAGGGAGATTCTTCCGAGAATCCATGCTAAAAGCTACCTACCTCACGGCCGCTATCGCTCAGGCAAGGAACTGTTTGCTCAAAATGTGCACAGAGTTGTCCTACATGCTTGGTCTTTCGGCTCCTGCTGCTTGTTCCGGTATACACTTGAAGCTAATCGAAACGCAAGTGCGCCAAAGCCTGGAGCTGGGACTTCGCTCGAAAGAGAACAGCTGAGATCTTGGCAGCGTAGGATCCACAAGCTGTCGCTGCTTCAACACCAAACTGTGTGCAAGGTCCTTAGCATCTCCGTTAGTGGCCGGGAGAGAAACGATGTTGGATGTTTGGGCTTCCTCCTGCTCTTCCAGTCATGTTGGGCTCTTGTGCGCCGAGGCAGCGGCTAAAGAACTTGGTGGTGGCATCCACGGCTCCTTTCATCTCAAGATATCGTCAGGTCAAGATCACGTGGAAGCTCAACGAAGTCAGTTTTCTTCAGGAATCTTCCGGCTGTCTTGTTCCCCTTTGGGCCAGCTCTGGACCATGCGCTAAACAGTCCTCGGACCGAAGAATGCTTGCGATCCTCTGTGCGCTGGGAGCCTGCAAGAGCTCGAACTGCTACAAGTGCCTGAGTTTGTTGTGGTGTCTGGTGTCCTGGGTATTGTTCGACTGTTGTCTTATCCCAGATTAGAAGATTTTCAGCATCCACATGCCAAGCAACTGGCACAAACTAGATTTAAGCCGAATCTAACCTGATCGGCTGCCTGCATCTGCACGCTTCTTCGCCACTGCGCGGTCGCAGGATTCACGTGGTGGCCATGTAGCTACCCTCACATTCAAGTTTTAAGGTGCATTTGGCATCTGTGAGCCGCTTTGTTGGGAACTGAGTGCGTCCAACGACATAATGAAACTGATAATGATGCAAGCGGATTAAGCCAAAACGGCAGTGGATCAGGATGAACAGATGCACAGACACTGCTCTATAATGTCAACGCCCGCCGGACACACACTGGCTGATACTAGCTGCGATGCACCTCTGTGCCCACCTTCACGGAGCCCTCGCCCTTGATCTGGCACCTATGTGTTGCTGACAGCCACATCACGTCACAACGTGACAAGCCTGCAACACCAGGCGACAAGAGTTCCTTACAGGTACTGGGTCTCGCACATGTGTTCCAGGCCAAGCTTCCACATTTTGCCGCAAAGGTCTGCCATGCGCTTCTTCTCCACATCCAGCCTGGCCGGAAGCTGGGAAGACTTCTACGGAAAATGCCGTTTGTAGCAGTGACCTGAAAAACCAGCGAACCCTGGCTCTCTCTCGGGGAAGGTGGGTGCAGGGATGTCTGCGTTCTGCAACAGCTATTGAAATGTGCCATGCACTCGCACAGACAGTTTGTGTGAAGACTGTATTGACTGACCGATGGGCGAGCTTGCCCGCAGGTATCTTTGCCCCTGCGTCTTGCCGAGCAGAGTATGTTACGCATCGCCATCTGTGCAGGTTTGCTTCGAAGCACGCACCTTGCTGAGTGCATCCAAGCGCCAGCGCTTCCAGTCAGTTTCCCGACCAGTGGAACATAGCAAGACAGTGCAATGCACCATGCGAGTCTGGAGCTGGCTTGCCCGACCTGTCTCCGACGACCAACTCCACAAAGCGCAGCCTTGGAGTTTCAATGGATGCTGATAATGTCTTGCGTGCGGAACGAAAGAGTTGTGAGAAATCGATGCGCCTACGGCTGCTGTTATCCAGACTTACTGCCAAACTACATAAGCCCCTTCAGAACCCAAGCTACACTCTAAGGAGTGCATCCTACACACGGTGCAAGTGAAGGTTCACTGTAGGACAGCGTCTGGGGCGGTTGGTACACCCTAAGTGTCGCGCTCTTAGATAGAGAGGCGATCAACAACATCTCATCACCGCGTAGCCCCGTTCAACGCAGTGATTCGCGTATGCAGCCTCTTCATGCAACGATAGTAGCCAGTCAAATGACTTGCAATTCTCATGATGTGCGGTGTTGCATGCACACTGGAGCGGGCATGGGCTGTGGCACGTGCTGGGGGACTGGTCGGATGGACTTCGTTCCCGGATCGCCCTCTCTTTGACATCCGCTACACTTTGCAGCAACAGGCAGAGGCCAAGCCAGCCCACAAAAGCATAGTTGCACAATGATCTATCAAACAGTACATGGCGAGCTAGGAGAAATCTGGTCATGCTTCCTGCAAAAATCAAGCCGAAATCTGGTCGAACTGCTTGTTTGACAGCACTGCAAGTTCTCGCTCCATTTTGTCCACCAGGTAGGCCTGAGCTGAAAAAGCTTCTCCAGTGCTTTGTGGAACATGTCTGCAGCCAAGCCTTCCTTCGCTCGTAGATCTGGTAGCGGACAGGGAAAAAAGCTTGGAGGATGTCCTGCGCGCAGCAAGTTGGCTGCCTCAACGCATGTCCGGCCTCGACTACTGCTATTATTAGCTACCGGCCTCGGGATTATCGTATTTCTGGATCTTGCCATCGACGTCAAAGAGCCACATGTTGGTGGTGCTGATGTCTGCCACAGCTGCAGGACAGCATCACTACACTGGCTGAAGGCCGTCCGACTGCCTGGCGAACTTACCGACAAACAACAAAGAACAAGTGCAAAGACGTCTCTTTTTTGGGGGAAATCGGCGTGCAGCGTCTGAAGGCGACTGTGACTCTGTGCCCGGCAGGCGGCCAGTCAAACAGAGGTGGTCCCGAGCCGTGCACAGTTGATTATAGGAGGATGTGCCGTCGCCTGGAGCTGGGTCACTCTTTCTGCTTTACATCGCGGCAGCGCTGCCGCAGGCACTGATAAATCGTGGCAACGAGCCCCAATGATGCGAGCAGCGCAGGTAGTTTCGAAACCGGCCCGTCTTCCTGCACAGTACGACAACAGTCAGCAGCTTAGTTGACACGGAGAGCTGTAAATCCGTAAGTGCATGACTGTGTTCAACGACTTGGTGGACCTGGATGCCTGTCCTCATCACGCTCTGGCGGCGGAGTCACTGCCTCCCAAGTCGGAACCGGCAGTGCGCCAACCCAGACATCGGGACATGCTGACGACTTGTGGATTTGAGTGCTGTGTGGCCTTGTCCAGCGCTTCTTCCATGACGACCTCTCCGACGACACTTGGCGCCCGCAACTTTGGCGACGCCACAGCACGCTCAGCAGACACGCGAACCTGATGCTCCAAGTGTCTCCAGAGAGAGCGAGAGAGAGAGAGA